GACGTAGGTCTGGGCCAGGATCTGATTACCGCCACCTTTTCCGGGTCCGGCTCCACTCCATCACCAACCAGATGCCCGAGGAAACGGAGCTTCCGCCGACAGGCAACCACCTTCTTACTTTTCACCGTCAACCCAGCCTGCTTCAGTCGTTCCAGCACCGCTTCCAACAGCGACAGGTGCTCCTGAAAAGATTTGCCACCGATAATGATATCGTCCAGATAGGCCGTCACTCCGTTACCCAACAGACCCCGCAGTGCATCAGCAATGAGCCTTGTGAAGCAGCTCGGCGCATTCTTCAATCCATATGGCATGACTAGAAATTCCCAGTGGTCTGTTTCCGTGCAGAATGCAGTCTTTTTACGATCTTCCGGTACGATGGGAACCTGCCAATACGCTGAATTCAGATCCAGAGTTGTGTACAATCTTGAACCGGCTAGGCTGTCCAAACATTCGCGTACTGTTGGGAGGTATGCCACTTCTGTTGCCGTTTTTGCATTGAGAGCGCGATAGTCGATGGCAAACCGATAATTGCCGTCACCCTTTTTTACCAGTAGCAGTGGAGCTGACCAAGGCGAGTTGGACTTCTGAATGACACCCTGCCGTTCCATTTTCCGTATCTGAATCGCAACTTCTTCACGCAAATGGTATGGAGTGCGCCGGGCTGGAACAGCGACAGGCGGACAGTCCCCTGTCACAATCCTGAATTCCCTGAGATGTGTCTTGCCCAGTTCGTCATCGTTATTTGCAAACGTGTCTCGATATCTGCTGAACAGCTTCTCAACACTTCTCTTCTCTTGTTCGTTTATCTCCGCGCTGCTAAGGTCAACTTGAGCTGGTCCGGGTCGACAGGCCCTCAGACTCTGCTCACCCTTGGTCACCTGGATAGCTGTGACTTCCCCCAGCGTCATGTTACCGTATAGGCGAACTGACTGATTACCACGGTTTGATACCAACAGAGGCATTCTGTTCATAGGACCGGACCGAACTACTGCGGGCGGTAGCGTTACTCCCAAACGCAGGCTGCTTGCAGCGTCTGGTTCAAAGACAACGTCCCGCTCATTCGCGCCGAAGTCCACGGCACTGACCTCCACCACCCGCTCAGAGTGCGGCTCCAGAAGGCAGTCGTGTCCCAGACGCACCTGCACAGAGTGCACCGGCGCTCCACTGGCGCGCGCCTCCAACGGCAGCCGGTGGCCTGCAAGCTCCAACACACGAGCCTCAAAATCAACTGAAAACTGCCCGAACTTCTGAAGTACATCATTTCCCAAAATACCAGGAGCTGACAAATCCTCGACAACCCACACCTTAATGCCGTGCCGAATCAGTCCTGGTCCTAACATTACGTCAGTCCATAACGCACCCAGACACACCAGCGGCGAGCCGTTGGCGGCCACGAGTCTAACATCAGCGGGTTCGTGGTGCATCGCCTGAATCCCCGGCAGGGAGGCTGACACACAAGTGGCTGACGCGCCCGTGTCCACCATCCACGTGCAGTCCAGCTTCCCAATTTTTCCCCGTACGTGTAGCGTGTTCGACGTCCTTAGGGGAGCTTCCATTGTCCCAGAGGCCGCCGCTCGCTCCGTGGCAGCGACCCTTCTCAGTTTAAATATGTTGTAGAGCACTGGTAGCGGGTGTGCCCGAATTCGCCACACGCCCAGCATACCAGGGGCGCTGGCCGTCCGCGGCCCCTTGCCAGAGGCGCGCGCGTGCACCACCTTTGCACGTGACCTGGCTCGCCACACGTCCAGCACGTGACTCCCCGCGCGTCAGTGTCACATCCCCGCCCCGCTCCGCCGGGGCCGCCCTCCCAGGTCCCGACCCTGTGCGCGCCACTGCGCCCAGCCGCTGTCCAGATAGGGGCGGCCGGCGGCGCCCCGAGCGGGACACGTGACCCACGCCGGGCCGCTCCACCGCGACCCGGCTCAGCGCCGCCGCCGCGTCCGAGCACCGGCACAGCCGCGCGGCCCCGACCAGCATCGACGAAGCGCATGGCGTTGACAGCCTCTGTCAGGGTTTGCACCTCTGAGCGAAGCGCAGCAATCTGGTCCGGCTTCCCAGACTGCTCGGCAACCTGACAAACGTCCGCTTTTCCATTCCGCAGCCCCATAGCCTCCTCAATTGCCCTCGCATGGGTTGGCAAATCTTGGATATTAGCGTCTGGGAACTGTAGACGGAGCTGCCCAGCCACCCCGCTATCAATACCCGACAGGAACGTCGACTTAATCAGAGCCATCCCCACTGCCGAATTCTCATCGGTGTTGGACTGACCTGGGCTCGATGCATAGGCAGATTGAAACAGTACTCGAAGCGCTGAGAGAAACATGCCGTACGTCTCACCGTCCCGCTTCCGTCTGGTCAGGAACTGCCGCTGGCTCTGTTGGGTTGTGTCGCCGAACTCTCTCAGCAGGGCCGCCTTCAGATTCGTCACAGAGCTCTTGTCCGTATCGCTGAGCGAGTCGATGACGCTGATGCGATGACCGAGTCCCAGAAGAGTCTTCCCGATGGTCTTCTTTTCATCCCCCAACAGCGCATAGGCATCCACGCGCCGCAAATAATCCTGTATCGTCTCTCCTTCCCCCCACACCAGCTTGTCCGAGCCTCGTTCTGCCATAATCAATGTCCACACTCCACACAGTGCGTCTGTTCACCGAGTACGCACGTCCAATCACCGGCGATGCACCGTTCACTACGCTGCCACCAGTGTGAGATCCGCGCGCGTCACTCACCGAGCAAAGACTGGCCGCCAGCGGGCGGCGCCCCGCGACCTCCGAGGCGCAGGTCACGTGACGGCGGCCGCCATAGGCGGAGGCAGGCTCTCAAGCCTGGAAGGCTGGAGCTCGCCTCTCACACCACCTCTATGGTGCTAAACTTTTTTTACAGTGTAGGCAATGCATATCCATGTGCCAGAGTTGGGGTGCTGGCTGCACGTGCGCACGTGCAGGGGTCGATTCCAGATCTCCAGAACGGCTGAACCGATTGTGCTGAAATCTGATACATGGTTAGGGACCGGTTAGTAGGGTGCCATGCAAAAGTCAGTTGCGACCCATTTTGCACGTGCGCACGTGCAGGGTGCCGCTTCCAGATCTCGAGAACGGCTAGGCCGATTGCGCTCAAATTTGGCACATCGTTAGGGACCGGTTAGAAGGGTGCAGTGCACAAGTTAGTTGGAGGTATCCCCTCGCAATTTCGCACGTGCAAGGCCCACCCCACCCTCTCGCTCGCTCCGTTGGTCGCCCCAAAAGGCGTTTTACTGGTTGTTATCCTACTCGAAATTTGATTAGGCCCTTCGGTCCAATGAGACCATTTCAGAGCCGCAAGTATGAAAGAATTAGTGGGAGACATTGGTCGGGGCAGCCACCCAGTGAGCCACTTGGGATGAATCCGACCATCTGAACAGGCAGCCCAGCCCACTGGCACTCACTGCACCCGGCAAAGGACTATAGCTCCAGTGGAGCCATTCCCGCATTGGATAGAGTTGCCCGTCCAGCCCGGAGCATGGGGTTGCGGCGTGGAGGAGAAGGATTTGACTATCCTGAGGTTGGAAGAGATGGAACGGCCGGTGCCGAATCTGAGGGGGTCCAGGAGGTTTAGATACTCAGTATATGGGGTGTGGGCCTACATGCATTGGTCTGACCCCTGCCACCTCGGCCAACAAAATCTCCAGCTCTTATCCGACCTGTCAGCGCGGAACTGCCGATTTTTTTTTATATCGTGATCAACGTGTGTCGTAAACACGACTGGCCGAACACGGGCCTAATATATTTCGTCTAACCAGCCAAGAACATGACTTTACACCAATCCGACCTCGAAGTCAAAATCCGAACATTTTCGAAGACTTCAACTCCGACTCTGGCCAAAACTGGTCAAAACAGTCAACTCCGACTGATTCCGGCTCCGACCCCACACTTCTGCAGTCACGCTACACTAAATTTCCAGCTTCTAAGAAATAAGCTATACGGTTGACAGGACCACAAAACTTTGAGGCGACTTGACTACTTGACTTGGTTTTCCTGACCTAAGGTTTTATGGTATCAAGCTTGTTACACGGACTGCAAAATTCGTATTTTGGAGCAGTTTTGCCTAATGTTTTTTTGCCAATTTTCGCGGCGCTTCGCGCCGATTCGTGCACAAACCAAAAAGAGAGATTTGTGACTATACAACGCCCCCTCCCCCACGCGGGTATACTATGCAATATGCATTACCTATGCAATATGCATTATCGATCATATTAGTGGCATACATCAGCAATTATACAGTGATAGAGCACCAGGCTTTGCCGTGTCAAACTGAATCGGACATCAGATGTGTTGAAAATCAAAATGAAATAAATAGGGCCGGCTCTCTGGTTTGACTTAAAAAACTTGAATATATGAGCACTTCAATTATATTGGTGGCGGTGGTGGCAGCAGATAGCACAGCGGCGGTACACAACCTCACACGGCGGCGGTGGCGACAGAACTCGTGAACGAAATAATACAACAAAGCGAAATCGGCGCGCTTAGGAAAAATATTCGTGAAGGATGCAGGGGTTACCAAATGGGCTGCCATAGGTAAAATAAAATGACGGGGCGTAAAGGAAAGGTAGGATACAACACAGTAACGATGGAAAACAAATACGGTACGGTAACATGAGGAGAAAAAAGGTCACAGGGCAGTAACGAATAGCGACATACTCCCCACTTTCGAAGTGAGCCGTCACTTCGAAAAGTCTCCTCACTCGGCACAGTCACTTTTTCGGCATTCGCCTCGCCGACGCTCACTTCACTCAGACGCCTCTAGTCTCAACAGTTTGTTAATCGGGCGGCGGGTAAGTCGCCCTCTTAGCACGATACTCGCCGCGCGAGCGTGGCCGTCCGCTCCAGACAGGAGGGACACCACGCGCGCCAGAGGCCAGCGACCACGCGGACCTTCCGCGTGCACCAGCACAATCTCTCCGACCTCGGGCAGCCGAACCGGACGGCCGCGCCGAGAGAAGCTCCACGTGCGTAGAGTCTGCAGGTACTCTTTGGTCCATCGCTGAACCAGGTGCTCGCTGACCAGCCGCTGGTGCCGCCAGCGCCGACTCAGGCTGTCCAGCTCGTGGCCAGACGGAGAGAGCACGCCACGGATGGACGTGACCCCGAACAACAGGTGCGCGGGCGTCAGCACGTCGTCGTCACCTGGGGTGAGAGGTCGGAAGTTCAGTTGTAACGCCAACTCATACAGGGTGACTGCCAACTCCTCATGGGTAAGATAACACTGGTGCAGGGTAATGCGCAGGGACTTCTTGGTTATCCCGACCAAACGTTCCCAGAAGCCGCCCCACCAGGGCGCCGCCTCGGGTACAAAGCGCCAGGTCACAGCTGCAGGTAGGTGCCCGAGCAGGGCATGAAACGTTCTGGCATTGTCACTCACAACTAGCGATGGCGTGCCACGTAGCGCAAAGAAGCGGCGCAAAGCCAGCTTGACGTCAGCGACATTCTGAGTCTTACACAGTTCGAGATGCACAGCTCGCGACGAGGCACAGGTCAGCAGCAGTACCCATACCTTGTCGCCGCCCTTGACGTACATCGGACCGAAAAAGTCCACACCGACCCGGCTGAACGGACGGCTGGGCTCCGTCCTGAACAGGGGCAGCGCGCCATCAGCTGACCGGTACGGCGCACCTCGGTACCTCCGGCACCTGAAGCATGTACTGACTACACGATGAACAGTTCGTCTCCTCACACAGTATTCACCAGACAGCAGTGCCAGTGTGGTGCGGGTACCCTGGTGAAACGATTTACGGTGTGCATCATCCACTATCAAGGTGGTCAGATGGGCAAACTCAGGCAGAATGATCAGAGCAGGTTCGTGAGTTCGCGTGACTGCTTCTAGGACACCATCTGCGTTTAGACGAGGTCTGACCTTCTCGAGTCGCGAGTTGGGTGGCAGCGGCGCGCCAGCCGTCAGCGCCTCCAGCTCCGGCGCGTAGGCGGCACTCTGCGAGACCCGGATCCAGAACCGCAGCGCCTCCCGGCGCTCCTCGGGTGACAGCGCTCCACTCCTCCTCTCAGTGCGCTGGTGCCTGGCGTTGTGCGCGAAACGAAGAATCCACGCGGTGCGGTTCACTGCCTGCTTGAGATGAGAACACCGAGTCACATCAAACGGTCCACGCATGACGTCTGGAATCGGATCAGGGCCACACTCTCGTCTCACGGCCACGATCTGACGTCTGACCTCGGGCCTCGTCTCTGCTTCGGCTTCTGCTGAGGGAGGCGTCAGTAGCACTAACGAGACATCATAGTCGGGCGGACTCAAATCAAATGGTGGACCCTTCCACCACTTGTCACAGGCGATGAGAGACGTCAGCGTTACCCCTCTCGTGCCTATGTCAGCGGGGTTATCAGAGCCTCTGACGTACCTCCACTGGTCGGCGGTCGTCAACTGAAGCACAGTCTTCACCCGGTTCTCCACGAACATCTTGAGAGGCCGCCTCCGGTTGAGCCAGTGAAGCACGTCGGTCGAGTCGGACCAGTAGGTGACTGTTGCGCTCTCCAGATGCAGCGCGTTCTTGATGAAGTCCATCAACCTGGCTCCAACAACAGCGGCCATCAGCTCCAGCCTGGGGATCGTTAGATGTGGAGACAGGGGGGCCAGCCTACTCTTCGACATCACCAGGGCAGGCTCCCCACCCTGGACCACATACACCACCGCGCAGTAGGCGGTCCGAGACGCGTCACAAAACACGTGAAAAGTCGCTCCGGACTGATCGTCACGCGCTCCGGCTAGGCGAGGGAACCAGATCACCCTCCCCGGCGAGTCTCTCCACCAGGCTCGGACCTCGGTCTGCAGCTCCCCACTCAGGGGACTATCCCATGTGCATTCAGCGTCAAGCCAGGTACGCTGAAACAGGGCCTTCCCCCAGATCAGCCACGGCGTCACCACGCCGAGCGGATCAAACGGTCTACTCACAGCAGATAGCAGCTCAGTCCGGGTGCCAGGGCAGGTCACCTGTGGCACGGTCACGGCCAGACGATCCGATCTTGTGCTCCACAGTAGGCCGAGCACCTTCTCGTCCTCAGTGTCGTCACCAGACATCCTGGTCTTGTGAAGATCCATGGAGGCCTCGCTGAAGACGTCACCCATCTTCGTCAGTCCGGCCTCTGCCTCCGCCCTCGTACTGAAGGACGGGCACATGTCGTCCATGTAGACGGAATCCTGAACCTTCTGCAACAGAACAGGTTCATCGCGCAGACACCGGCGGACGTGCTCAGCGATAGTGCACAGCAGCATGTAGGGCGAACAGGTGAGTCCAAACGGGACCCTGCGAAACCTCAGCCGCTGGCCCGCCCACAGTAGCTGCACGAACTGACGGTCCTCCTCAGTGAGTACAATCTGATGGAAAGCTGCACGAATGTCCGTCTGACAACCCACAGCTCCTGAACGGAAGTTAAGTAGCACAGCTGGTAAACGATGCAGCAGGTTCTCTCCCGGCTCAAGGTAGGAGTTCAGGCTCATACCTGCACCGTCTGGCGCTGATCCATCGAACACCACTCGCAGTTTGCCGTTGCGGTGCAGTCCTCGATGCGGTAAGATGAACTCTGATGGTGGACTCGGCAGCGCGGGCTCGATGACGGCGTCTTCCAGCAGCTGATGCAGGTGGTCATCGTACTCCTGGAACTGTTCAACATTCAACTTCTCTGTCATACGGTGAGTCCGGGTCTTCGATAACATCAGGTTAGACACTGGGCGCTGGTCGGACTTCCATACTAGCCCATCTCATACCTGTTCTCGGTGGCGTTCCAAGTCGGTACAGGTGGGTCTCTCTCGGCGGTCTCCTCTGCGGCGACTCCCACAGCGTCCAGCGTCCACATTCGCTCGACGTCAACCAGCTGACAGCGGTAGGCGTGCCGCTGCCGGGTCGTCTGCTGGCCTGGGGACTGTCCGTGGAGCACATACCCGAACACAGTCTCCACCAGGCGGAGGCCAGGATTCACCTCCACCTGGTTCCACAACACCACCTTGTACAGCTGATCACACCCAATTAGAACATCAACAGGTCCGTCACGGAAGTCATCAGCAAGCTCTACACTTGGGGGCAGAGACTGAATGGGTGGTGGAGCTCCCACGGGCGCACACAGCTTATCAGTTCTCCAGAACACAAGCTCGGCCTCACCTTTCTGGTATCCAGTGAGCCGCGCGCTTACTTGGTCGTACTGGTGAGCCTCCTCAACTCTTTCCTTGAATCCGACACACGCGAAGGTCCCCTGGCCGACCTTCTCGAGTCCCAGCTGGTCAGCCAGTGAAGCCCGGATGAAGGAGGCGTCTGCCCCGCCGTCAATCAGCGCGCGTACTAGACGCACGCCCCGAGGACCAGCCACCTCCACGAGCGCCGTCTGCACGTAGCAGTGCTGCTGGCTCCGCACGCCCATGCACATCCGTCCCTGGTTGGCAGAAAAAGTACCAGCAGCAGCAGGGGGCGGCAATGGTCTGCGATCAGGCATGCGACTCTCAGACACAGCAGCAGCGGCAGGGGGTGACAAAGGTCCGCGATCAGGTACACATCTCTCAGTAGGCATGAGGGCTGCATGCTCTCCGGGCGGCGGGTGCAATGACGAGTGGTGCGGGCCACCACACCATGGGCATCGGGTGCTGTGGCAAGCACGCAGCAGATGGGGACCAAGACACTGGTAGCAGAGCTTAGCCTGGCGCACAACATCCCAGCGAACAGGCACAGTCATGGTGCGGTAGGCCGAACACGCAGCCAGGCCATGCTTACCCGTTCCGCATGCCAGACATACCCAGTCAGGTCCCTTCTTCTGCCTCACGTTCAGCATGCTGACTGTCGGCTTCCCAGGTACTGCGGTAGGTGGCTGCTCACTGGTGATCCTCTTCCTCCGAGCAGCTGCCTCCTCCCTGATGCTCATCTCCTTCTGCAGGAACTTCAGGAAGAAGTATGCGCATCTGGCTGACCTTATCCTCACTTCTGTATGGAAATATGAAATTGCCAAAATAAATTACTGTATTAAAAGTCGAGATATTTCGAGCACAGCTCTTCGTCGGTCGATTGTAATTATTTACACACATAACAGGCGTGAGGTACTGTAAATAATTACAATCGACCGACGAAGAGCTGTGCTCGAAATATCTCGACTTTTAATACAGTAATTTATTTTGGCAATTTCATATTTCCATACAGAAGTGAGGATAAGGTCAGCCAGATGCGCATACTTCTCATGATGATATTCCTCAGAACGCTTAACCACTTACGATAACTTCAGGAAGACTGTGAGTTCATCAGATGAGTCAGCACTGCATCTCAGCCACTCAATCTTCCATGACTCAGGGATGCAAGACAATAGCACAGGCATCAGCAGGACAGCATATGAGTCAGGCAACACGTTCATCGTCTCCAGCGCCCTGACCTCAGAAACCAGCCCATCAATCATGCGTCGCAAGCGGACCAAGTCATTGTCACTGTGCACAGGGGTGGTGGACAACAATCTCTGCATCAGCACCTTAATGCACAAATCTGGGCGATCAAACCTTTCCTTCAGGGTCTCCACAGCCTTCAAGTAGCCCTGGTCAGTGATGGGAAGACCCTGCACAGCCACCTCAGCCTGATCGACGAGGTGCGCCTTCAAGTGCACCAGCTTTTCGACAGGTGCATAAGCAGGGTTGTCATGGACAGATACACAGAACAGGCTCCAGAACTCTGACCACTTTTCCACGTCCCCACAGAACTTGGGCAGCTTCAGGTCCAGCTTTCCCCCCAGGTAAGGCGGCACACACTGAGCCCTTCCAACAGAGACCTCAGAGCTCCTTTCCAGACGAGCAAGCACACGCTTAGCTTTGAAAATCTGATCCTGCATATCCTGAACATGCGAGGTATCATCAGGCACAGACAGCTTTGTCAGGCTCACCTGGATCTCGGTCATCAGATCAACGTGCTGCTCAAGGTGGTGTATTGCCAAGGCAAGGTCGTCCTCTTGAGAATTATCACATTCGGCAAGCTCTTTCATCAGTCTGGTTGCCTTACCTCGAGCCACAGTCCTTTTCTGTTTAAGCTGTGCCTCACTCTCCATCTTGATATACACAATTCACAAGTCAATCTCAGTCTTGATCAGTCAAAATCAATCAGCAAATCATCAAAGAAGCAAATTTAACAGAAATCAAAAAGTCATCCGGCCCGGAGGACTATGTTGAAAATCAAAATGAAATAAATAGGGCCGGCTCTCTGGTTTGACTTAAAAAACTTGAATATATGAGCACTTCAATTATATTGGTGGCGGTGGTGGCAGCAGATAGCACAGCGGCGGTACACAACCTCACACGGCGGCGGTGGCGACAGAACTCGTGAACGAAATAATACAACAAAGCGAAATCGGCGCGGTTAGGAAAAATATTCGTGAAGGATGCAGGGGTTACCAAATGGGCTGCCATAGGTAAAATAAAATGACGGGGCGTAAAGGAAAGGTAGGATACAACACAGTAACGATGGAAAACAAATACGGTACGGTAACATGAGGAGAAAAAAGGTCACAGGGCAGTAACGAATAGCGACAAGATGTGTATATAGGTAGGTACTCGGTGGGAATGCGGTCTATAGCCAAAATACCTAACCTTAACTACTTTCCTCAAACCAGTTGTTTTGCCACAGTTTTATGAGTTTTTAATCTTAAAATGGTCAGGAAATAATGAATATTTGCAAAAGGATTTTATATTTATTTTTACATCACTATTTTCCATCTTTCGTAGAGGTTACTTACCTATATTGCAGCGGAAGCTGATTACGCGTTGACCAAGCATAGTACGTAGTTCAAACCAGCTGAATGCTGATTGGCTAGCATTTTTCCGTAAGGGAATGGATTCCTCGGTAAGAGAATGACAAAGTGTAATCTATGGGAATGACTTCAGTCTTCAAACCTAAAATCGATACCGATATATTTGGCTAGGGTGATCGTTGGGCCATAAAAGCTCCTGATTTGTTCTCGTCTCAGCTACAAAACTGTTACTTCAGTTCAAAACCCTATGTTAAAAGTGGCATATTTGCTTTAAACGTTGAATGCATCCGACCGAAAAAGCCACGGTAAGAATGTCTACTTTTGGGTTTTCAGTCGGTCAGTCCGTCCCCCCCAGTCAAAAATCCGTGGCGGCGCCCTTGCTGCTGGTATTTCCAAGGGTTGCTCCAAATTGGCCCAAAACATTTACCGAACCGAGACCATGCGCGAGACGATGAACACTAATTCAGTCTCAGAAGTGTGTTTTTCTCAACGAGTTCACCAGACATGGCCACCAGACACTTTTGACGCGCCCCTTCCTAAGGGCCGATTAAGGGGTAAGGGGTAAGTTGCACACATCTGGAACCCAAGGCTGCGGCTAGATATTGACCCGAGGAATCGATTGCGACCCTTATTTTGGCGATCAGACGAACCCTTGAGGAACTTTTGACGCGCCCCTTCCTTTAAGGGCCGATTACGGGGTAAGGGGTAAGTTGCACACATCTGGAACCCGAGGCTGCGGCTAGATATTGACCCGAGGAATCGATTGCGACCCTTATTTTAGCGATCAGACGAACCCTTGAGGCACTTTTGACGCGCCCCTTCCTTTAAGGGCCGATTAAGGGGTAAGGGGTAAGTTGCACACATCTGGAACCCGAGGCTGCGGCTAGATATTGACCCGAGGAATCGATTGCGACCCTTGTTTTGGCGATCAGACGAACCCTTGAGGCACTTTTGACGCGCCCCTTCCTTTAAGGGCCGATTAAGGGGTAAGGGGTAAGCTGCACACATCTGGTCCTGGAACTCGAGGCTGCGGCTAGATATTGATCCGAGGAATCGATTGCGACCCTTATTTTGGCGATCAGACGAACCCTTGAGGCACTTTTGACGCGCCCCTTCCTTTAAGGGCCGATTAAGGGGTAAGGGGTAAGTTGCACACATCTGGAACCCGAGGCTGCGGCTAGATATTGACCCGAGGAATCGATTGCGACCCTTATTTTGGCGATCAGACGAACCCTTGAGGCATTTTTGACGCGCCCCTTCCTTTAAGGGCCGATTAAGGGGTAAGGGGTAAGAGCTAGGGCCAAATAAATGTCATATTCTTGCTCCCCGTTCCCCAATCGACCTGATAGGAGTTTTTCAAGCGATTCTGAATCCGACGCTGTATTCGTTGCTGTTGCTGACGCTAACTTCACGGACATATTTTTTAGCAGTTCAAAATGACAAATGTAATTTTGGTATGTCAAAACTGGTCAAAACAAACTGAAGTTTGGTGATTTTTTTTTCAATTAAAAAACTTTTCAAAAAACGTAATTAAAAACTTTTTTTTAAATAAATTAACTATTTTTCACATTTTGAGCAGTACGTACTGTACGTAGTGGATTTCCAAGTCAAAAATTGCACTACGTACAGTGTACGTACTGTACGTAGTGGTGGCGGCGCCCCTGCTGACATTGGTTATCAAAAGATCTAATACGTTGCTCACGTTTGAAACTACTCTAGTTGGCACTTTAACTAGTTGCTCCATGGCACAATTATTAAGAGCATTAAGAAACAATTCATTTTTGTTTTTATGCCTCCCCCAGGTAGACTTACCATCCCATCCCAGTCAATGTCAGCAAGGGCGCACACAAGGGGGGGCACACGGGCCCGTGCCCCCCCCCCCATTCGAGTTGGGGGGCCCACTTCGAAGGAATAGGGGCCCATTTGAGGCGGCCGAAGGCCGCCTCAAATGGGCCTCTAATTAACCCTTAGACCACCGAAGACCGTGTACAAAGGGCCCTCAAATGGCCTTAAAGGGCCCTCAGATGGTCTCAAAAGGCCCTCAGTTGGCCTCGAAGGGCCCTCAGGCCTCAGATGACCTCAAAGGGCCCTCACCGTCATAGGGCCCTCATCTGGTGTTAAAGGGCCGTTAGATGGTGTCAAAGGGCCCTCAGATGGCCTTAAGGTGCCCTCAGATGACCTCAAAGGGCTCTCAGATGGCCTTAAAGGGCCCTCAGATGGCCTCAAAGGGCCCTCAGCTAACGTCAAACGGACGTCAGAAGGCCTTAAAGGGTGTCAAAGGTCCCTGAGCTGGCGTCAGAGGGCCATGCCCTTGCGTCAAACGGCTCTCCGAAGGCTCTAAAGGGTCCTTAGCTGGTGTCAGAGGGCCCCCAGCTGGTGCCAGATGGCCCACAGCTGGCGCCAAATGGCCATCAGAAGGCCTCAAACGGTCCTCAGCTGGAGTCCAACGGTCCTCAGCTGGCGTCAAGCGGCCCTTAAAAAGCCTCAAAGGGCCCTTAGAAAGCCTCGAGGGCCCTTAGAACACCTCAGTGGGCCCTCAGAAGGCCTTAAAGAGCGTCAAAGGACCTTGAGCTAGCGTCAGAGGGCCCCCCAGCTTATGTCAGAGGGCCCTGAGCTAGCGTCAAACTTAAAGTGCCCTTAGCTGGTGTCAGAGGGCCCCAGTTGGTGTCAGAGGGTCATCTATTGGCGTCTAATGGCCATCAGAAGGCCCAAAAACGATCCTCAGCTGGCGTACAAAGGTCCTCAGCTGACGTCAAGAGGCCCTCAAAAGGCCTCAAAGGCCCCTCGACTGCTCAAAGGGCCCTTAGCAAGGCCTCAATGGGAACTCAAGAGACGTTAAACGGCCCTCAAAAGGCTTGAAAGGACCATCTGCTGATGGCAAAGGGCTCGCACCTGAGTCAATAAGAGCCTTGTCAAAAACGGACCTGAGAAGCCTTGCCGGCCCTGGTTATCTGCGGGACTCCTACACTTACCTGAGTGGCCCCCGTTTACTGAGGGGCCCTGGTTATTGATGGGGTCCCTGGTTACTTGAGGGGCGCCTGGTTACCAGAGGGGCCCATGGTCACCTGGTGGGCCCCTGATCAATTGAAAACCCCTGGTCATCTGAAACGCCCCTGATTACCTAAAGGGTCCCTAATCACTTGGATTCAGTGACATAGCAAGGGAGCGAGGGGGTACGTGCCCGTTCTCGGGTTTAGGGTTCCTTCGAAACCGAGGGGCGCTGCAGCGCCAGTTGGTAGCAGAGGGTTCGCGCTGGCCGCACTTCAACTTGGAAGGACACCACAGGGCTTGTGGGGGGACGTTATTGGCTCCTATGTAGCCACAATTATCTTCATAAAGGCCCAATGCCGGTTTCTGAGAGACCTCAACGGCCGCTCAGAGCCCTAGTAACGGCCAACGAGGGATTGGCTGCTATGGCTCCACATCCGTCTGTGATAGACACACGGTCCACACCAGTGTTTCTAAAGGCACCCACAACGGCAACTGCGAGGCCCCTCGCCCCACCTCCAAGGGACCCCCACCAGCGCATCTTAAGGGCCTACATCGGCGGCTCTGAGAGTCCCCCACCGACGCCTCTGCGGGCCACGTACCAGTGACTCTGAGGGCCTCTTACCAGCCTCTGAGTGTCATTGCCAGCCTATGACGGGCCACTTTCCACTTGCAGGCCATTTTGCAGGGCCACACACATGCCAATGATGGCCCCACCAGTGTCTCTAAGCCCTATGAGACCCCGCAACAGCGCCTGTGAGGACCCAACACCAGCGCATCTGACGGCCTTTCACTGGCACCTCTGAGCGCGCCACACACCGGTGACTCTGAGGAGCTCGCTCGCTTCGCTCGCTCGTAAAATACCATGTAAATTAGGCATTAGTGTACATTAGGCACACTCCTCGGACATAAATGATACTTTTGCTTGCCCATTTTCCACATTTTCTCATGCAAAGACCGTTTTAAAGAGACCCGTCTGCCAGTGAGACTGGACCCACCGTGCCTCCCTCCTCCCATCGAAAGGTCCTGGATACATAATGCCTGAGCTGACCCCGGGCCCCCGGGTGACTCGCGGGCCCGGGGTCAGGTGACCAGCAGGTGACCCCCTCTTGGGCGAAATTCTGGGTACGTGTCCGACATGCATCGTACATAGTCCTGTTGATTTG